TTAAACTGGGTGGGATTTTATCATATACATTTTTTTGGTATAATACATGAGAAACAGGAACAGGAACATAGCAAATATAAATCAGTACATTCCTTGAACGAACTCTTTGCCACACTGAAACTGAAAAATTGCATGCAATGGGGAGACAGAGAGAAGGGAACTCAGTTTTATTTAAAAAAAAAAAAAAAACACAGACAACCTAGGTGCAACTGTCAACAGAGGAGCAGCACTATATATGGCAAACCTGTATAAATTAAAAGTAAATTCCACTCTGACATCTACTATGCTTTAAAGTGCAATGAAGCCTGATTTATTTACCTACAGAATACAGGAACGACGACCCCCTCTCCCCATTCCAATCTATCCCTAAAAAAAAAAAAAAAAAAAATCCGACCCCAAACAAAAAAACCCAATAAAATAAATCTAAAGGATATACATTATCCACAGTCCTATAGAGACGCCTACATCTACTCAGTAGCACCAAGAATCTGATACAGGTGTAATTAAAATCAATTAAAACTCGGGAGCAATGCTAACATCTGTTCGCTGCTTTTGCAGACCTCCTGCCCTTTATTAGTGTCTCGCAGGAGAGGCGGCTCTCCCTGTGCTGAAAAGTGAAGGCGACAGCGTCCTGTCCTCTCCATCATCGGCCGAACTGTTTTGGCAGCAGGCTACAAACACGCACACGCCCACGCACAGCACAGTGAGAGCAGCTGGCGGTTACATGAAGGGGAGGGGATGGGAAGCTGAGGCCCCACGTGTGCGCACGTGCATGCACGTGTGTGGAGGGAGCAGGACTAATCTACACAGAGGTGAAGGGTTGTGTGAGTCCAACACACGCCACGAGCCTCTTTGGTGACAGGGTGATGGGAAGGGGAAGGAAGGAAAGGGAGTCAGCACAGTCCCCCTCTGCTGAGCCCCTCGTGTGCTGTCTTGCAAGGCGGGGGCCTGTGCGCCACAGTCCGTCCGTCTCCACAGGCCACCTCTCAGCAGGTCTCAGTAGCCAAAGGTCTCCTGGGAAGCGTAGACCATGTAGAGGAAGCCATCCTCGTCCTTCTCCTGCTCGTAGATCTCTGAGATGGGGGTAGACACACTCACCATGCTGTGCTGGTTCACCAGCAGGAAGAAAGCCTGGGTGGGATTCAGCTGCAAGCGACGCCTGTGGGGACAAGGGCAGGAGGGCCTGGGTCAACCCGCCTGGGGTAGGCACCGCGACAGCAAGTTCTACCTCCCCCCAGCCATGCTGTTTGCATGGGGCCAGACCCGCACAGCTCGCACCTCCTCCCACACGCTCAGGACATGGTGTCTCTGAGCCCAGCAGAGCCGCCCGGAGCTCCAAGGCCTCCCGAGTCCAGACTCTGCAGAGCCCCTTTCTCCAAGGGGCCTGTTCCATCTAAGCTGAAGGATAAAAGAAGGGGATTCAAGCCCCCCTCATCAGCTCATGGAGTGTCCCTATGAGGGAGAGGCCACAGTCCTTCACCAAATGCTATGAACCCCCCCTCAACCCCTCCAAATGTTCTGCTCCACAACACAAGGAGGCTGGGGTTGTCATGTCCCCATCCCCACCCTCAGGAGCTGCCCCTGCCTCATCCTCACCCCATCGCTTGGTGTTCAGGGCCTGTGGGTGAGGACAGCTTCACTGCATGCCAGCTGGGGACACCCCACTCACCGGATTATTTTGACCAGTTCACTCATGTTGACATGGTCTGGGACAAGGAACTTGGTCTTGTCCAGCACTGGCAGCTGCTTCTCCCCTTTATAGCGTTCGATGATGACCTGGGGAGCAAGTCAATGGTAGGGTTAGCCACAGTTCACAGTGCCCCAAGCACTGACCTCAAGGTCAAACACAAACTAGCACCAGTGGAAAAGCTGAGGTAAGGCCCCGCTTTGCTTCACCCTCACAGGAAAACAAGAAAAAAGGACACGAGCAGGGACCATCAGGTTGGCTGCAGACAGCTCTTCAGCAGAGTCATCTGCTTGCCTGAGCCAGCTGGTGGAGAGATCCAAGATACGTAACAAAGCAGCAGTTGCTCTGGCTGGCTGAGAAACAGGAGGCGTTAGGGGACTGATTTAGCTACCTCCCCCAACATGCAGGAGAACCAAAAGAGGAGTGAAGTGTATTTTAACATCACTTTCAGACTGACCAAAACCGCAGGTTTTGCTGGCTTGAGACAAGGACTGAACTCGTGGTGCACAGCAAGAGGCGTTTTCTTTCCCTTCTGTGCCACAACTCCAGGCTTCTGCCGTTCAGCACCTCCCTGCTTGCTCAGGAAGAGCTGCGGAAACTCCCAAACAAGCAGCTTTTAGAAACCACTGTGAGGCCACCCAAGGCATTCCTTCAGAAAGGGAGAGTTTGGACTTCGCTGGTCCCACTCCTCATGTTAAAATTCAGACACACTGACTCCAAAAAGGATCAGAAAGCCACAGCCACATCTCCCGCGTGCCACCACGACTGAGCGGGGAGCTTCCAGGGCACTTCAGCACAGTGCCAGCACAGGGACAGCCCAGCCTGTCCTCCCCTGCAAGAGGTCTTGCTTAGGAAAGCTCTTACCACACCGACATTCTGAAACGGCTAAACAATGATTTCTGTTCAGTTTTCCTGCTATTATAATTAATGAATTTCTTCTGTTAAGAAGCATCTGCTGCCAGCTACAATCACTATTCTGAACCAGGCTGGAAATGTACTATTTGTATTCTAGGAAACAAGGTGCTGGGCAGTTAAAATAAGTAATGATGTTACTTATAAAGCTCAATACATTCCCATTGCACTGATACCCTGACTCTCACATCTCTCCAGTACCTAGCTGTTTTCTCCACGGAAAGACACTTGTATACTGATCAGTTCATCGTCCTCCCCGAGCTGAGACTGAACATTCTTTTTCACTATAAGCTGAGGAGTTCCCATAAATCATTTTTTCCAAATGTATATGGGAGACTGCAAATGCCTTTGGACAGAGGCATGGAGCAGCACGCAGAGATCAGAAACCCCAGAAGATGGCTCTGTGGAGCCAAAAGGATCAGGCAAACCTCCAGGAACACCGATTTTCCTTTCCCTTAGTCACTGGGAGACACACCAAGCCTCTTATCAGCAGCAGCAACGGAACTCCTCCTGCTTGTCTACCCCAAAGCCAAATCCGACCCTCTGGTTGGCATCTTGTAGTATCACCAGGGAGCTGGGAATGTCTGATGAGTTCCCAGACTGCAGGACTTCTCTCAAGACCCGCCAGGATGCGTCAAGCTACACTGCAGGCAGTTCCCAGATGAGGGAGGGGTGCACTGCACCTTGGGGAGAGCTCTGCACCTGAATGCCCTC